CCTCTTCACTTATTTTATGAGAATCATTCATCAGGAACCTAATAAACAAATAAGATGTATCCGATTAAACGAGATAACGTTTCCCCGCCTTCTTGTTGAACGTACCATCAGTGGGTCCTTCTGCTGTCCTGTTAACAGAAGATACAGTACCTCTACCGCTATCTTAGCACTTGCGTGCACTTCTAAATTGCCGTTTTTTATTAATATAATGAAAGGCACGTATTTAAGAGTTTTAAGCTCTTCAACAGATGAATGACTGCTCAGAGATGAAATCAAGCATTTTCAAAAAATAGACATGCGAAATAATTAATGTGATAATTAAGCGACCCTAATTTCACCCTATTTTCGAATTTTAGTTTCCATACTTCAATACTTTATGCAGGCAAGCGGGCAGACATATATGAGGTACTTTACTATGTTTTCTAAAATGTTACTGGTTGAATGTACTCTTCTACAGGGGCAGTAGGACGAATAACAGCGGTAATATGCATATATATATATAACAGTATGACCAATAGCAGAGGTCGAATATCGTCAACCAGTGCTAACTCAGAATGAAGCGTCAAGGGCAAGATCAAGTCAGAAATGACTTCTTTCCTTTCTGGCACAGGTATCTTCAGCATAGGTAGAGATGAGAAAGCCCTTCGATCCTGCTAGAGAAAGTTTTTGACCATGCATCTTTACGTCAGCCAATGAACGTTCCAAAATATTGCAGGCGCCAATCAGAAGATGAGTTTGGAGAGACAGAATGGAAGCAGGTCTAAGTTCAAAGAGTAAATGCTTTTTGTGGTGCAGGTATTTATAATAGGAATATTGAAAAGCTATAAATTCTACGGATATTACATACTATGAGCGTTCCGTATGTGCAAACGGCTGAATGTTATAATCACAGCAAATTACAACAATGCCGCTATCAAGGTTTGTCGTGACAAAGTTGTCGGGTTGATCTTCTAGCTAACGGCGGTAAAATTTGCCGCTTTATTGGTCTCGGCTGGGAATTGGGTTATGTAGTGAGAGGTTCCCCCTCACAACTTACAAAACAACTAGGAACCATGATGTTCGCAATTCCATCAATAAACGCTAAAAAGAGGTAAATTCTGCAAATTAAGTTACGTTCAAGAAACGTGCTCTGACAGCAAATCCGGATGGAAAGCTTGGGATATCATTACGCATTATTCGTTACTGAAGGTATGATAACTTCATAGCTTCTAACTTCGGAGCAGAGCATGATGATTTATAGTCCTGAGGGGCATATACATAAGGCAAGAGCAGTGTAGTTTTTAAATTATGGTACTCAATACCATCGGCGACGGAGCCCAGACACTTAAATTCATTGATATTTTCAATGTTGCTGTTTTCTTGCTGCACTACGAAGGTTGCGTTTTGTTGCTTCGGTTGGTTATATACTTTCAGGACACGTGATTTAGAGGAAACCTGTTTTCGGTTACCGCATTGCGTCTAGAATACTTCTCAAACCAATTCTGGCTTTCCACACAATCTGATGTCATTAGTGTACTCTGAAAATAAGAAAGATTTGACTTGATATCTGTAATTATGCCTGTCGTTGACAACTTTATTAAACTTGTTTAAATGATCATTACTTTGGAAGTCCATTGTAATGAGGAAACGTGCAGGCGGATCATCGTCTCCTCATCTGACCTCATACTTAACAAGCAACGTTGCGAGAATCGGTCAGTTGACTACCGTTGCCTGTTTAAGTCTTTGATACGCCTCCAATACGGGGTAACGTGTTCAGCTACTGAGCGTCCTGCCAAGTTATATTACTCAAAATTAAGCTTATAATTCATAAAAGTGGGTTCCCAGAACAAATAGAATTTTAGACACCATAATGTATGTATGTGGAGGTTGGAAGATAATCATTCCACGAAGGTGTTGCATGAATGGGCGTACGTGATTCGACAGAAGCTTTACCCTGCTACATTTAACGATAAAATATTCACAAATACGGTTTTCTGTAACGGATGCATACAGTGTGCCTCCTAGTGCTATGAACATTTCTGATTATCAATATAAAAGGCAACGAGTACCTGCCGTGCAATATGATTGTTCCAGAAATTAATATCCATCTGCGTAACGTTCAGGAATTCGCCTAACGTTGGCATGCAGAAGATCATCTTCAAGTTGTTTGGACCCTTCTTGATTGCCTTTTCGCAGCCGGCCGATCGACCGTTAATGATGAGTTTCAGGAAAGCACGGTTATAACTTTCGTTCGGGTAACACTTATGACAGTAGACGCTGAAACACGTTTCATCTG